GCAGTTTGTTCCCAGCTTGCAGGGGGGCTGCAGGAGCTGCCTTCTAATTTGCAGTAAACTTTTCTTTCTCCCTCCCTTCCCTTTATCTGAGCCCTTCCCCTGTCTTTCCTGGGCTGGAGAAGGACATCACCATGGCAAGGTTTGGAGATGAGTTCTGCTGGTTTTCCTCCCGTGGGGCTGGGTGTGTGGGGCTGTGGCTGGGCTGGGGGTGCTGGAGCAGCCCTGTCCCCTGCCTGGCACTGTCATTCCTGCCCCACAGCTGTCCCGGGGGCTGGGGCAGGACCTGCCCTGATGATGTTCCCACATTTCCCCATGTGATTGTGGACTGGCAGTGCCAGAGCTGTCCCTGGGCTCCTGCCTGAGCTCTCACACCCAGCCAGGAGGATTTTTCCACCCCTGTCATGACTCGATTATGTGCTCTCCTTCCTACCCAAATGCCGAACGGCAGCTAAATATAGGCTGTAAAGTGTTGATTGTGGCTTTTCTAATTGAGCTTTACACTCCATCAGGGATTTTTACTAATGGGATGTGGCATCCTTGATAGCACCCAGCTGGGACGCCTGCTTGGGAAGCAGACGGAGATGCAATGTGACTTCCTGGTGCTGTCAGGTCCTGCCTGGCATGGCTGCTGACAGCTCTGGAGCTGTGCACCAGCTCTGCCTTGGGCTGGGACAGAGTTCATTTTCTTCCCATGGCTGGTCCAGGGCTGTGTTTTGGGTTCAGGATGAGAGCAGTGTTGATAACACGCTGCTGGTGTGGTTGTTGCTGGGAAATGCTCTCCCTAGGTCAAGGACTTTTCCATTTCCCATGCTCTGCCCGCCAGGAGGTGCCAAGGACCAGGAGGGATATTCCAGACCATGGAATGTCATGCCCAATGTGGAGTGTGGGGGATGGCTGGGAGAGGCCTATTGCTGCTGAGGAACAGGCTGGGCTTTTTGGGCAGTGAGAGACTGTGCTGGGCACCACTTGTTTATCCGGGATTATATTCCTCTCTCTCTTTTTCTTATCTCCGTTTTTATTACAATAACAACAACAACAATAATGATAACAATAATAACCCCCACTAACAACTGTATTTCAACTATTACCTCAGCTCATGGGTTTTACTTTTTCCCAGTTCTCCTCCCCAGCCCACCAGGGGGTTGGATGAACGAGGGGCTGTGTGGTACTTATGTGCCAGCTGTGGTTCAACAATGACAAGTGGGATAGTAAATCCATGGAGCTCAATTGTGCTTGGGAATTCGAGCTCAGATTTCAGTGGTAAACAGGTTTCTAGTAGCTTTGCTTTTTCTGACAATATAAATCGTTGCCTAAAGACACATAGCTTGAAAATTGCTTCTCTAACAGAGTGAATTCTGTTTTTTTTCCCCATGTAACTCTTGTGAGTGGCCCTGTGAGCACAAAAGGAGCGGGAGCACTAAAATGCTAATGGGGTTCTGCAGGTGATGGAGCTGTACACAGGTATCCTGGGATTTACATGCACAGAAAAAGGAATGTTTTGAACTCATTTATGCAGCACAGCGATGTGTTAAGCTCTGTCCCTGTTGCCTTGTGCCAGTGAAATATGTTACAATGAGATGTACAAATGTTCTGCTGGAATGGAAACTGCTTGGGAAGCTAATTCTGGCTTTGTATCTCTTGGCACATCTTGTTTCCATGCTGATCCCACTGAAGCGTGGGGCCTGGGGTGGCAGGATGGTGCTGAGTGCCTGGCACAGCTGAGGCACTGCTGCCCTGGGCACTGCTGCCCCTGCCCAGCCCCAGAGAGCAGCAGCAGCTGGCAGCTGAGAGAGAATGGGATGGATTTACAGCAGTGAGCTGCTGACCCAATGTCAGCACGTGCTGCCCAGCCCTGCTCTGTGCCCTCTGGGCTGGCAGGGCTGGCAGGGCTTGCCCTCTGCCCCGGCCCCTGTGCCCAGGGCTGGGTGTGACCGTCCCTGGGAGGTGCCTGCACAGCGGTGGCACCACTCTGGCCCTGTGCCTGCCCTCCTGAGTGACACCAGACTGGCACCACTGGAGCTGCTGCTGTGCCTGGAGTGGGAGTGCAGAGCTATGGTGACAAACATCTCAGTGACAGGCCAGCACTGAGGGTCAGCAGCTTTGGCATGATAGACTCTGCCTGTGTGACCCTGAGCACTGGAGCATGAAATAGGATAAAATTTAGTGGTGGAACGTGCAGGGAGGCAGAGGGGTTGCCCTGCTGTCTGCATCAGGAGCTCAGGTCTGCATGATCACAGGGCTGGAGCCCCTCTGGAGCCAGGCTGGGAGGACTGGGGGTGCTCACCTGGAGAGGAGAAGCTCCAGGGACACCTCAGAGCCCCTGCCAGGGCCTGAAGGGGCTCCAGGAGAGCTGCAGAGGGACTGGGGACAAGGGATGGAGGGACAGGACACAGGGAATGGCTCCCACTGCCAGAGGGCAGGGCTGGATGGGATATTGGGAATGAGGAATTGTTCCCTGTGAGGGTGGGCAGGCCCTGGCACAGGGTGCCCAGAGCAGCTGTGGCTGCCCCTGGATCCCTGGCAGTGCCCAAGGCCAGGCTGGGCAGGGCTGGGAGCAGCCTGGGACAGTGGGAGGTGTCCCTGCCATGGCAGCAGGTGGAACGAGATGGGCTTTAAGGTTCCTTCCAACCTAAACCATCCTGGGATTCTGTGATGCTCCAGAATGGGTGGAAAAAGCTGAGTCCAAGAGAGAGGGAGGGCAGTGAGGGGTGTGGAAATATCCATGGGGAAATAAAAGCTAATTTTGTGAGAGGAGACTGAAAGAATTTGCGTTAATCAGCCTTGAAAAAGGCAGGCAGAAAGGGGCTGGGACTTCATTATAATGGAAATTAATCATGGGAGCAAACACCGTAGAGGGGGGATAATTATTTAAGCTAAAGGTTAATATTGGCACAAGAACAAATGAGCATAAGCAGTGAAGAATTGAGTTTTAGATGGAAATTTGAATGATCTGTACCCTTCATTATGAGATTTGCCCATGGCAGGGTGTTGGAGTATCATCTCTAAGGTCCTTTCCAACCCAAAGCATTCTTTGGTTCTGGAACAGCCTTGGGGTGTCCTGGGGAGCTCATTTGGGCTCAGCTCTGGGTTCTGTGAGAGCAGGGGACAAGGGACAGCCTTGGGGTAACCCTCAGCCCAGGACACCCCACAGCAGTGCTGGGCTCTGCTCCTTTCTATGGCATTTCTGGGTTCCTTGGAGCACTGCTGGGGCTGGTGTCATCCCCAGGAGGGCACCTGAGGAGCCTCCTGTGGCCCTGGGCTGCCCCTGGGCTTTGGGACTGTGGCTGTGCGTGGTCACCCTGACACATGGGCTGTGTCCTGCTCACCCTGGCAGGTTGGGAGCCCCAGCTCAAACTCAGTTGAGTTTTGACCTCGCAGAGACATTGAATTTATGTTTCTGCATGTTCCATGACACCCTGAGGACCTCTGCAGTCCCTTTTGTGTGAGTCTGGCTTTCTGGAGTCTGGACCTTCCCTAGTAGCTGTCCAGTGTCCTGTTTTCTACCTCAAATCCCTTTCTGGTGCTGTGGATGATGTTTAATGGGGGTTTCATTGTCTCAAAGGAAATTTTTATCCCTTCAGTCTTGAACCCTCTGGTTTCTTTATTTGGTTAATTCAGATTATCTGGGAGTTTTGGGGTGGGCTGGGGTCTTGAATTCTTTTTGTGCTGGTTGTGCCTTGGAGCTCAAGATGCTAATCCTAATTACAGTGGCCAGGGGAGAAGGCTTCACTGGCACAGCAGCAGCTTTGCTAACAGAGGGTGCAGTGTGGTGCTGAGCCAGCAGTGCCCAGGTGGGCAAGAGGCCAGTGGCACCTGGCCTGTACCAGCCATGGTGTGGCCACAGCCCCAGGGCAGTGACCATCCCTGTGCTGGCACTGCTGGGGCACCTCCAGTGCTGGGGTCAGTTCTGGGTCCTCATGACAAGACAGACATGGAGGGGCTGGAGGCTGTCCAGGGCAGGGAACAGAGCTGGGAAGGGGCTGGAGCACCAGGAGGGGCTGAGGGAGCTGGGAAGGGGCTCAGCCTGGAGCAAAGGAGGCTCAGGGGGGACCTTGTGGCTCTGCACAGCTCCTGACAGGAGGGGACAGCCGGGGGGCATGGCTGTGCTCCAGGGAACAGGGACAGGACAAAGGGGAAATTGCCTCAAATTGTGCCAGGGGAGGCTTAGATTGGATCTTGGGGAAATTTTTTTCATGGAACAGCTGCCCAGGGCAATGGTGGAGTCACTGTTCCCAGAAGTGTTGAAAAGACCTTTGCATGTGGCACTTAGGGACATGGTTTAGTGCTGGGATAAGGGTTGGACTTACTGATCCTAGAGGGCTTTTACAACCTGAACAATTCCGTGATTCCATGAAGGGCATGGCTGTGCTCAGCCAGGGGCTGCGTGTGTGTCACAGAGGGGTCCTGGCCTGAGGGACCCCTCCCACCCCCTGAAAACCCTGTCTGTCCCAGCTCCTGAAAGCCCTGTGTCCTGTGTCCCTCCCCCTGAAAACCCTGTGTCCTGTGTCCCGTCCCACCTCCTGAAAGCCCTGTGTCCTGTGTCTCAGCTCCTGAAAGCCCTGTGTCCTGTGTCCCATCCCAGCTCCTCAAAGCCCTGTGTCCTGTCCCAGCTGCTGAACACCCCTGTCCTGTGTCCTGTGTCCTATCCCATCTGCTGAATATGCCTGTCCTGTGTCCCATCCCAGCTGCTGAAGGCCCTGTCCTGTGTCCTGTCTCACCTCCTAAAAGCCCTGTGTCCCATCCCAGCTCCTGAAAGCCGTGTCCTATCCCAGCTCCTGAACACCCCTGTCCTGTGTCCTTTGTCCTGTGTCCTGTCCCAGCTGCTAAAGGCCCCTGTCCTGTGTCCCGTGTCCCATGGCAGCTGCTGAAGCCCTGTCCCGTGTCCCGTCCCAGCTGCTGAAGGCCCCTGTCCTGTGTCCTGTATCCCATCCCAGCTGCTGAAGGTTCCTGTCCCGTGTCCCGTCCCACCTCCTGAGGCCTGTCCCGCCGTGTCCCCGCAGGTCCCTGGACAGGAAGCTGCAGCGGCCGCTCCTGGGCAAGTCGCGGACGCTGCCCAGCATCCCGCAGTCCCCGGTGCTGAGCCGGCTGCCCCTGCTCGAGCCCGCCGCCTACCGGGACGAGATGCCGGAGCAGAAGCCCTTCCAGAAGCACTCGGCCTCCGAGCACCAGAAAGGCTGCACGGTGCCTTCTGCCGGTGAGTGCGCCCGCCCCTCTGTGCCTACGGGATCCCAGCCAAGCTTCCCCGCTTCTCCAGGGGTACAGATCCCGCTCCAGCCCACCTGGAGTGTATTCTGCTCTGAAAATAGCGCTTCTTGGTGAACTTTTGGGGGTTTTGCCCCTGGTTGAGTCTTTCTTTGAGCTTGATACTTAAACCTCCCCATCCTTCATATCATGCTGGTGAAAAAGAAGAGCAGGTTGTTGGAAGCCACCCGAGGTGGAGGGGTGAGGCTTGGAGCCTTCTGCCTGAGGGTGCTGGGGTGAGCCACCGCCCTGGGGCCTCCTTGTCCAATGCCCAGGCCTAGGTGCCTCTGTCTTATTTCACTTGTAGCTGCTCTGCACCAGGAGCAGTGGCAGGAACATCATCGCTGTGCTCTTCCCACAGCCCTGGCTTTGGAAATTTGCAAATGCTCCCAGCTTAGCACTGTGTTTTGGTGTTTGGGCAGCCCTAAGGATTTTTATAATGTTCTTCTACTCTCATGCTGATCCTGATGAAATACTAATATTGCTGGGCCAGCTGCTCTGAGCAAGTTTATTGGCAAAGCTGCTGATGGCCAAAGTGTTTCAGTGCTTTTGGTGCCAGCAGAATCACGCTGGGACCATAAAAGTGATGGGAAGGGGGATTATTAACACTGAAACAAAGATAAAGCCTGGAAGCCAGAGCTGACAGTCCAGTGCTGAATAAAACCCTTATAAAACAGCTCCCTTCAAACAGCACCCTTGGATTTTTTTATTTTAATGGGGTTTTTTAAATTATCCCTCTCACAGTCAGATCCGTGTGTTGCTCAGCAGAGCAGCTGTCCAAACCCTGGATTAATTTTGATGCTTTGCATGCTACATTTCATTTCCTGATGCTACTAATTCTCCCAAAAGTTGTGCACAGAGCAGATCTCTGTACATGGCTGAGCCCATCCTGCCACTCTTGTCATGACAGAGCTCCTGGGTGTCCTGCAGCACCTGAGCCACTGCTGCCATGTGTGGGACCTGGGGGTTTTCCTTCAGCCCATCAAATTGTTAGAGTGGGTCTTGGAATGGGAGGAAACCTGTGTAGCCTCCCCCACGAAGGACATGGCATCCAGAGCTCCCTTGCACCCCTGCAGGTGCCCATTTGCTCTGTTGGTGCCTCCAGGGAGCTGTGCTGGAGCTGAAGGACAGGAGTGGGAGGCTGGGGTCAGACTGTGGGGTGATGTTGCCCTGTGGTCAGCCCCACTGCAAACACCTGACCTCCTGCTGCAGACTCCTGCTGTCCTGGGAGTGCAGACAGGCTCGTGCTCCGCGGAACAGCTGTCCTGGAGCAAACCCCCTGCACACCCTCCCTGCATGGCAGGAATCATGGAAACTCTGAGTGCACCTAAGAAGTGTCTGAGATCTTCCTTTGCTCATGGCTGGAAGGGGCCAGGGTGCCAAGAGGAGCAGGAGTAGGAAAACCCTTGGAGACTGGAGGGCTCCCTCCACAGCCAGAGCAGTGGATGAGTGAGTGTGTTGTTTTCAGTCCAGATTCTCCCACTTTGTTTTCCTGGCTCAATTAGGAGCTGCTAATTATTTACTTATGAAGGCTGTCAGGATGATGTCCCGGAGCAGAAAAAGAAGAGATGCCACTGCTGGCAGGGTAGGACATTTGGACAGCACAAAGGGAATGGAGCAGCATGTGGTGCTGAAGGTTAACGAGCCCTGGGATGCTGACCAGGAATGCAGGATTCCCGTAAGGATTTATGAGCAAGAGCTGGGCTGCTGGGCATCAGGATGGAGAGAAGTTGGAACAGGGTCCCCAGAAAGCTGTGGCTGCCCATGGATCCCTGGAACTGTCCAAGGCCAGGCTGGACAGGGCTTGGAGCAGCCTGGGATAGTGGAAGGTGTCCCTGCCCATGGCAAGGGCTGGAATGAGATGGGCTTTAAGGTCCCTTCCAACCCAAACCATTTCATCATTCTTGCATAAGTCCTTTCCCTAAAGAAGTGGTGAATTTGCTGTGAGCAGGCACTACCACTCCCCATTGAAGGTGGGGGGATGCAGGACCACAACCAGCTCAGGAGGAGGCTCATGCACAGGGACATGGCAGGAGCAGGGCTGTCCTTGGGAGAGGTGATGAGCTCATCTTCAGGAGTGTTCATGGCTCTGGAGAGGAACTGCACTCTGCTCAATGCTGTTCTGGGGGCCATGAGCAGAGGAATCTCCAAGCAAGATGGAAGATGTGATTGTGTCTGGCATGGATGAGATGTGACATCCTCATCTGACCACTGGGACGTGTTCCTCAGCCTTTTCCTTTGTGTCCCATGGTTCCAGTGTGTCAGCACTGGAGGAGGGATGTGCTCTGGCACTTGACAGGAGGTCACAGAAGGATGTCTTGCTGTGGCACCACAGCTCCTCTGCAGGTCCTTGTGAAGACACCAAGGTGCCTGGTGGGGAGCCGGGACCCTGAAGATGGGCAGAAGAGCTGAGTCCATGGCTGCTGAGCCTCCCAGAGCCCTTCTTTCCCTTCAAAACAACCTTCCACCTCATTCCATGAGCTCAGGAACTGGCTGGTCAGCAGGTCTGGGTTTCCTGCTGGTCTGGTTTTGTTTTCCCCTGCAGGACACCCATAACAGTACTGGGGTCAGCTGGACAGGCTATGAGCTCTTCCTCTCCATCCTATATCCTTCAACTCCTTGCCTGGAGCAGCTCCAGGATTAACCCCACATCCTTATGGCTCCAAGCCCTGGAGAGGGAAAGACAAACACAAATGAGGCTTGACTGGACAGGGGACAGTGCCTGCCTTGTCCAAGCCATTATCCCTTGGGTGTCCCACTGCACTCTGCCAGGAGGTCTCACACCTGCTGGTGGCACAGAGCAATGAGCTGCGTGTTGCTTCTTATCCCTTGTTCCAGTGTGAAGATTTAGGAGTGGGACTGAGGAAAAGCCCTCCTTTTGCTCTCTCACCTCTTCCTTCTACATCAGGCAGGGGCTTCTTCTCAGCCTCTGAGCACTGCAGCAGCCCTGAGGTGCAGCCTGCACAGAAACTTCCTGCATGGTTTACATGCCTGGTCCCTTGCAGTTCCCTCCTCTGGCACCTGGAAGGAGCAGACCACTCTGGAGCACTTCCCTGCCTCCACTCTCCCTTGTCTGTCAGCAACATGCAGAGCTCTTCAGGAGCTGGCTCCATGCCCTGCTGTGGATCTGGGAAGAAGTTAACTCATAGCATGGTTGGCGTGAGTTTATTGGGAATTGTGCCCATGGGAGGAAAATAAAGAAGCCACAAGGAAGCAGCTGGATTTGAGCTTAAACCAGGACCCTGGAAATAATTTTTCTTCTACTTGTAGAGGATGTACTAGAGAGGCACCGGGTCTCTGTCCTTGCTGTTCCCTCCATCCTTTGATGTGTGTCCTCCCCAGCACCTCAAATTCAGAGAAAAAAGGGTTTGCAGGAATTGTTATTGCAGGAGATCTTCCAGAGGTGCTGATGTTGAGGGCACAGCTCTGAGTGGCAGAGGGTGAGCAGCTCCAAGACACAAGAGCATGAGGATTGTTGGCCTCCAGTCTGTGGGCTTGCTTCTGTTCCTGGTATTTTCTCTCCAGGTTGGATGGGATCCTGAGCCACCTGATCTAGTGAGTGACATCCCTGCCTGTGGCAGGGGTTGGAACAAGATGAGCTTTTATTTCCCTTCCAGCCCAAACCAGTCTTTGATTCTCTGACTTCTTGATCTTCCCCTTCTGGCCATTCTGGGCTTGATCATTGATTTACTTGTTTGGTAGCAGTCAAGACAAGCTTCTTCAGCAGGTAGAAAAGCATTTTGGGGTAGACAAGGTCCTGTGGTGGCTCCCTCTGTGCAGGGAGGAAGGACCCAGTTTGGTAAAGATCACCCCTTGGGCAGGCCAGGGAGCAGCTGCCTCTGGTCCAGCTCCTGCTGGAGAACACAGCTCCTGCAGATGAGAGACAAGACCAAAAGCTGCAAAATCCTTGGGGAGCTGGGATCAGTGAGAGCAGATGTGGCACAGCTGTTCTGTAGGATTTGAAACCCAGCTCCTCGTCCCTGGGTGAGGTGCCCTGCACAGAGGAGCAGGTGGGTACAGCAGGTGAATCCTTGCCCTCATTCAGCACATGGCCCTGGCCCTCCCTTGCTCAGGGCAGCAGAGCAGTGGGGGCTGTGTCTGGGTGAGCTCTGGGGCTGGGAGGGGACAGTCTTGAGGACACAGGTGGCACAGGCAGTGGCTGGGACATCTCAAGTGAGCACGAGAGCAGGTTCTCCTTTCATGTGCGGTTTCCCTGCGTGTCCCCTGCCTCTGGTGTGTCAGTGCTCCTGCTGCGCTCCCAGAGCGGTGCTGTCTCACAATGGCAGCCTGGATCTGCCTCCGATTGACGTGTTTGTGCATGGAATAATCACAGCTTTCAAACAGCAGTTCCTGTGTTGTGTGAGGTGACATTTGGAGAGGAGCAGCAGCAGCTTATTAAATTGAAACTAGGGGAGAAAAAATCTACACGATGCTCGGAGTGCTGTGCTCTGGGTTGCCTCTTTCATGGAATGGTTTGGGTTTGAGTTGGAAGGGACCTTCAAGGTCATCTTGTTCCATGCCCTGTCCTGAGCAGAGACTCCTCACACTATCCCAGGCTGCTCCAAGCCCCATCCAGCCTGGCTTTGGACACTGCCAGGGATCCATGGGCAGCCACAGCTTCTCTGGGCACCCTGTGCCAGGGCCTGCCCACCCTCACAAGGAACAATTCCTTCCCAATATCCCATCTAATCTTGCCCTCTGGCAGTCTGTGTAGGTGGTTCCTCTTCTGGTGGCTTGGAGTCCAGCCTGTGTCTCACTATGTTCCATGTAAACCCCACAGGTTTGCTGGGTAAACTGGACTGCACTGCTGAACTGGGGCTTAGGGCCATTATCTGCTTTAAACCCCAGAAGTGTTTTGCTCCTCAGCTCTGGTGTAGCAGGATCATGGTTGTTCATGCTCGAAGGTGCTGGGTTTTTCAGCAATGAGAAACGAAGGATGTTGCCTTGGTAAGAGGCTGCAGGAGGGGGAGAGCCCCTGGAGGCAGTCCTGTGTGATGCCCTTTTGGGCTAATAATTGAGAAGGCTTCAAGATTGAGGCTTTTATTGATTGTTTGTCATGGCTTGAGCAGTGATTTTGGCTGAGGGGAGGAGGGAGGGCAAGCTCCAGATGTAAAGAGGAGATTGGCAACAAAAAGCAGGCGACAATCTGAGCCGAAGGGAAAAGAGCGCAGCAGTGATATTCTGAAAACATCTCCTGTTGTTTTGTTGTTGTTTCCCTTTTGTTGCAATGAAATGTGGCCAGTCCTGCCCTGGGATCACCAGCCCTGCGTGGTGCCAGCTGTCACCACTGTGGCAGTGTTAGTGAGGTTTATCCCTGGGGCTCTCAGCCCTGCACTGCTGCATCCTGTTGCTGCTGGTGACGGGCAGGTGGAGAAGGGAGCTCTGGCTTCTGTCCTTCATGGGGCTCTTGATTTGCTGCTGGCTGTGCCATAAAGTGTTTTGGGGTGTTTTTCTGTAGGAGAAGATGGCAGTAAATTCTTTTGTCATTTTTAACACTTGTTGATGCCTCATTTTTCTCATTCACAAAGCAAAACTTGAAGGCCAGGTTGGACTGGAGTTGGAGCAACCTGATGAAGTGCAAAGTGTCCCTGCCCATGGCAAGGGGTTGGAACGAGATGAGCTTTAAGCTTCCTTCCAGCAAAAAGCATTCCATGATTCTAACTGTATCTGGCTGATTCCTGCCAGGAGTTGGTGGGGACTGTGCATACCTGGGTGGGCAGTTGAGTGCAGGGCTGTTGCCTGGGGCAGGGGGTACGTGGGGATTTGTGGGAGGGAGATGCCATCTGAGTAAGTTCCCAGTGTCTGTACCCCATGGTATGGGGTGGGACGGCCAGAGGGTGTCCAGGGATACCCACTGGGCATCCCCAGAGCTGTCTCAGGGGGTAGCACAGGTCTGATCACGCTCTGATGGGGACACATCTCCTTCTCCCGGGCAGGGGAGGCCTGGCGGCTGGAGGATGACTGCTCGGAGCCGCCCAGGGCCCCCCAGCTGGGCACGGCCGTGGAGGACGCCCCGTTCAGCTACTTCCGCACGCGCTCCTTCTACATGAGGAAGAGCCTGTCCGTGGACAACCACCTGGGCTCGCTGAGCTACGCCGTGCACCCGGCCGAGAGCAAGGCCGAGCGCGTCAGGACCAAGCTGCGGCGGCAGTTCGTGAGTATCGGCCCCGCGCGCGGTTCCCAAACACACTGACATCTTGGAGAGCTATTTCTGTGCCCAACATGAGTAAAACAACAGAAAGAGAGGCTGCTCCAGAGTGGTGGAGCAGATGGTGGTGGCAGCTCAGCTTTGCCCAGCCCGTGACAGAGCTCCTCTCCTGGGGTCCCGTCCCCCTGGCTCTGAGGGCTCAGGGTGGCTGCTGGGTGTGGGAGGGACGAGGGCCTGGACTCTGGGCACTGCTGTGCAAAACATGGAACCAGGCTGAAAGCAGGAAATGAGTTTTCCTGTCCTCGGCTTCGTGTCTGTGAGGAACTGCGGCTTTCCAGAGGTTTGTCAGGGGCCAGCAGTGAGGGGCTGGGGCAGCAAGGAGCCAGCACCGAGTCCTTGGGGCAGCTCAGAGCTTCCTGGCCCTCGGGAGCTCCTGGTGGCCGGACAGCAGGGATGCGCCAGGGCTGCACCGCAGCTGTGGCAGCCTCTGATCAATGTTTAATGGGCTCTGCCTCTTCTCTTTCGCAGAGACACCGAACCCCGCGGCTCGGGTGTCCCTCCCCCGCCTCGTTAGTTGTAATGAGGGCTCAGGTGCCGCAGGTATGAGAAGCACTCGGTGTTGATTGGCAATGGCTGAGAGAGCCAGCACAATGGGCATGGAGCAGGGAATGGGCTGAGGCTGCACAGCTCACCTGCCCCAAACTGTGCACAGGCTTCCTCTGCCCCAGAGGAAGGGCTGGTCCCTCTGGGGTCACACTGGGGGTTTCTCCTGGTGCACCTGGGCACTGTGGGTCTGGGAGCTCACCCTCCCTCTTGTGTCTGTGTCGTTGGATGTAGCCACTGCTGCCCCTGGGAGGGCACCTCTGGTCTCAGAGCGTGCTGGGGCCAGCAGTGAGGGCTGTGGGAGCTGTCACAGTCCCAGCACTGCCAGTGAACCTTCTCTGTGGGAACTGCTGCCTCGGGCTCAGGAAGGTCTTGAAACCTCAGAGATGGCGATGAGCACAAGCAGGATGGGGCACCTGATGAGCTGCTGAAAGATGCTGGAGATGTTTAAGATGAGGCGGCCCTGCTGTGGGGTAAGGAACTGTCTGCTTTTTCTGTCTGCCTGGATCTGTGGCTCCAAGCTGTACCCAGGAGGGACAGGAGGGCACTGAGATGTTGGGGACCATTGTCTGTCAGGGATGTTTTCCCAGTGTCTCTGTGGGCCCTGTTCCCCATAGCCTCTGTGCTGCAGTGGAGATGGTGACAAAAGGTGTGGAAGCACTTGGGTTTTAAGCACAGTGTCCTGGTACCTGCAGAGAGCTGGGTTCTGCCCTTCCTGTGGGGCAGCCCCTGTCCCTCCCTGCTCAGTGCCATGCCAGCACCTCTCTGTGCTATCTGTGGCCAGTTTGATTTGACCTTTGACTTACTCAGGTTTTGGGGACCTTTAGCTTTCCTTGGTGTACCCACAGAGCTGGCTGGCTGTCAAGGAAGAGAGCAGGTTTTCTGTGGGATGTGGGGGATTTTTTCCTTGCTAAATAATTCCTGGCTCATTCCAACGTAAAAGTTGTTGCTGTAGACTCAGCCATGGGCTCTGACCTTGTGAGACCTGCTGAGAAAAGCAGACTCATCCTGCTTGGAAAGGGCTTCCAGAGGGCCTTCAGCAGTGGCAGAAAGTATGGAGGAAGGGGAGCTGGCAGAAAGTGTGGAGGAAGGTGAACTGGCTGAGGCTTGGGCCAGGACAGGACCAGCATTCCCAACACAGCCCAGAGCCAGGTTTGTAAGTTCAAAGCAGAGATCCTGCCAAGCTGGGGAAATGATTTCCAAGGAAAGTTGTGGGCTCTGTGTGCTCCCATGGCTGGGTAGTTAGTTTCCATCTGTGTGCTGGAGGTGTTGCAGCTTCCCCTGGGCTCCTGTTGTGCCCTGCCCTGCGTGCCACCGGCTCTGCCCAGCCCTGGCTGGGGAGGAATCACTGCCAGGTGGGATCTGCTCTCCTCATGCATGGCACAGCACCCACAGGAGCGACCATGATTTACCATATCACAGTGGCCCATCTTTTAGGAAGAAGCTGGATTCATTTTTCTGGGCTGTTGCACTTCCCCAGCCTGTAATGAGGATTTCTGGCTTTGCTCTTTCCGTGCTGACAATCTGAGCCACCTTTGCAGCTGCTTGGCTTGGTTTTCAATTTCCCCAAAAATAGAATTTTGGGAATTGCTGAGAGAGGAGAGGCTCCTGAGGCTTTGGGTGGGACAGGGCAGGGCGGATGGTGACAGGGCAGACCTGCTGCCCACATGCACCCAGTGCTGTGTGGCCACCTCACATCCATGTGATTGGGTGCTACCTAATGAAGGCTTTGTGCTGCTCATGGGCACCTGAGCTTGTCCAAGGGAGAATTTGTTGTAATTTATGTGAAAATACTGGAATCTGGCTTCCCTGCTCCCCTGGCTGTGATATGCTAGATGCTGCCAGGGCTGCTGAAGCATCTTCAGTGCAGAGGTAGCACCTGCAAATCCAGCCTGGCCCCAGAGCAGCCGCTCCTCCCGTGCCTGCCTGAGGCCAGCACACCTGCCTGCCTCCCAGAGCACTGGGGAGGGGGGGATTTCTCCAGCCATGTCACTGGTGGCATTTGTCTGCAGTCCCACTCTGCTGTGTGATGGATCTGCACGTACAGATTACTGGAATTTGCATAATTTGAATTTTAAATGAATTCCAATTTTTGCGATTGTCAGAACGAGTTTTCTTTCTAATAAGCCTTTCCTTTTAACTCCTCCAAGGCCTGCAGTGCTGTCAGCATTCCTGCCTGGAGACAGGGGAGCGGCTGATTGCTTTTGACATCTGTCTCTCACTCGGATCCCTGCCTTGTCCCAGTCACTCCAGCTGTGACATAGACAGGCTGGGGCTGTGCTCTGAGACCTTGGGCATGTTGTTTGGGGTCACTTGGTGATGGCAAGGGATTGTTTTGGTTTTGTGCCCAGCTGACTCCTGGGATAGGACCTTCCGCAGTGTCCCTTGCTGGGGAGAGAAGTGAGACATGGCTGAGTTACAGACTGCTGATCTCCTTGCCTTCACTGGAAAACTGGTCATTAAAGGCAGAATTAACCCTGTTAAACTCAGCATTAACCTTATGCAGCATTAAAAGAGGTCAGCAGGGCTGAGTCACTCTCTGTTGCTGGGACAGTCAGTGCAGATTGCAGCAGGGCTCTGAGGGAATTGTGCTCTTCCCTTTCCCCCATGGGAATTTCAAGTTCTTTGTATCTAGGCCAGTCGTTCTGGCATTGCCCACTCATTTTGTGGTGTTATGGCACAGACCCTGCTGCCTCTGAGGAGAAGGAGCCAGCAGTGCCCAGGGTCCCATATGCTGACCCAGCTTGGTTTGAGGTCTCTACCCTGACCCCTCTGCTGCTCTGAAATGATGTGCTGCTGTCTGAGCATGGCAGAGGAGTCACCAGTTTGTGCAGGGGACATGGAGGAGAGCAGCCCTTGGCATTGCCATGGCATCCCTGGTGCTGCCCCAGCTGCCCAGACACTTCTGCTCACTGTAGTTCCTACAGGTTTCAAGTAGGTGACTTGGGGTTGTATTGCTTTCCTGCCTAATTAATTTTTCTCTGTGCTCTCATGCAATAATTTATTTTTTAATTATTATTATTATTTGTGTATGGTGTTTTTCCAGGCAGTGATTCTGATATGAAGTGTCTCTGCCCTGCAGGAAACACTTAGACTCTGTTTGTCTTGGGAGTTCTACAGATGAGTTGAGCAGAGGAATCCCTGCCTGACAAAGCAATGATGACAGAGACAAGGTGGATTATTGGGATAGCAGAGCCTGGGGAGGGAGGCAGTGAGGGGAGGAACTCACTGTGTGGCCCAGACCAGTGGTCACACCTGCTGCTCACTGGAGTCACTGACAGCGCTGGGCTGGCACCAGCTGACAGGTACCTGCCCAGGTTTTCCTATTCCAGTGAATCATGATCAACCCAGAAATGCCTCCTGTCCCTGCTGCTCACTGCAGGGATGTTGGGGAGGGCAGAAACTGCCTTACCCCAGAGCAATACCAGTCCATGGGTGTGAGCATCCTGCTCTGGGTTCTGGGTGCCACATGAGCTGGAGACAAGGTAGGACCTTGGTAGAGCCCATCTGTGCATTGTCCCAAGGGTTTGGTCTCATTCCTAAGTGTGCAGGGACCTCCCCAAGTCTGTGGGTGCAGCCAGGAGACATCTCTGGGGTGATGCTTATGGTGACAGCAAGGCCATGTCACCCTGCCATGATCCCTCTGCTCCAGTGGAATCCCACTCTCTCTGCTGGTGGTGCCTCTGTCCTTGCTGTATTTTACTGGGTTCTGTTCTGACACTGCTAACCATGCACTCCCATACCCGATTTCAGAAGGGATCAGCAAGCTGACAAAAGATTCCTGGCTGAGTCTGGAGTTCAGTGTGATAAAAATAAATCCATATATAAAAATAGAGTCATAGAATCATATAATCCTAGGGTAGTTTGGTTCGGAAGGAGCCCTAAAAACTATCTCATCCCAACCCCTGCCACGGGCAGGGACACCTTCCACTACCCCAGGTTGTTCCAAGCCCTGGCCTTGGACAGTTCCAGGGATCCAGGGGCAGCCACAGCTGCTCTGTGTTGATAAAATGACCATGTGAGAGCAGGTCAGCTGTGCTTGGTGAGGAGGTGGAGCAGAGTAATGAGGGTTATCCTGGAGCTCCACACAGACTGCCCCAGCTCCCAGAGCAGAGTGGCAGTGGCTGCCTGAGGGAGGAAATTGCAAAGGCAGGTGATGTTTGGGCTCTGTGCATCACTCCTGTGCCCAGCCCCTCCTGCCCATGCTGCTCACTTGCTGACTTGTTCACAGAGTGCTCCACAGAAAAACCCAAACCTGATAAATAACGTGTTGCTGGAGCCAGAGAGAGACTCATTCCCTGGAGAGCAGTCCCTGGGAGCTGGGAAGAGGCTCCCTGTGAATCACCCCACTTTGCAAATTAGTGTGGGAGTGAACAGGCACAGCAAAGCTCGAAACCCAAACG